ACATAAAGAGCATTAGATTATTAAAAAATATGTAACCAGTTGGTAAATGATATATTTATTTAGAATATTAGTGTGTATATAGCCGAAGATTGTACTCAATGAGGACATACTTAGGTATGAATGTAATAGTTTGAAGACTTTAAAGTCATTAGTTCTATTATAAAGTTAGTGTTTTTATTATTGTAGTTGATATGATTGCGTATAGGCAAGGATTGTATTTGACGGAGACAATATTGCTTATAAAAAATATAGATTGTAGAGTTTTACTTTACATTTTCAATTACGTTTACTTACTTTAGAAGTTTAATGAGGTTTTTATTACAGTAATATTTAGCAAAAATTTAAAAATATATTCTATACTTAAACATAAATATATAACAATATTAAAATAATTTTTAGTTTTTTAACAAGGACAGGAAAATGTACTACGTTTGAAAAATCAATTTTATACAGCAATAGATTAAACACTTTAAGGACAGTTTTTGGAACGTACTGCATAGTTTGGGGACAAGTGACCTTATGTTAAATACTTTTAGTTCATTTTCTTTGCATAATTTCTTTGTATAATTAATTTACTAGACATAAATAGCATTAGATTATTAAAAAATATGTAACCAGTTGGGAAATGATATATTTATTTAGAATATTAGTGTGTATATAGCCGAAGATTGTACTCCATGAGGACAAACTTAGGTATAAAAGTTAAAGTTTAAAGACTTTAAAGTCATTAGTTCTATTATAAAGTTAGTGTTTTCATTATTGTAGTTGATATGATTGCGTATAGGCAAGGATTGTATTTGACGGAGACAATATTGCTTATAAAAAATATAGATTGTAGAGTTTCACGTTACATTTCCAATTACTATTACTTACTTTAGAAGTTTAATGAGGTTTTTATTACAGTAATATAATTTAAAGACTTTAAAGTCATTAGTTCTATTATAAAGTTAGTGTTTTTATTATTGTAGTTGATATGATTGCGTATAGGCAAGGATTGTATTTGACGGAGACAATATTGCTTATAAAAAATATAGATTGTAGAGTTTCACGTTACATTTTTAATTACTATTACTTACTTTAGAAGTTTAATGAGGTTTTTTTACAGTAATATAGTTTAAAGACTTTAAAGTCATTAGTTCTATTATAAGTTATTATTTTCATTATTGTTGTTGATCTGATTGCGTATACTCAAAGATTGTATTTGTTAGATACAATACTGCGTATTAAAAATATGGATGGTAGAGTTTAACGTTACATTTTTTATTATTATTACTCACATAAGAAGTTTAATGAGGTTTTTATTACAGTAGTATTTAGGAAAAATTTAAAAATGTATTCTAGAATTAAACATAAATAAATAACAATATATATTAGTGTGTATATTGCCGAAGATTGTACTCAATGAGGACATAGTTATGTATGAAAGGTATAGTTTAAAGACATTAATGTCATTTTTGCTATTAATTGGTGATTTTTTTATAGGTTTACTGGAGATATATTTATAACAATAGTAATGTGATAAAATTTAAAAATTCGATTGTATTAATTGCTCATTTATTATTAACATTTTCAAAGAATTAACAGGTTTGTAGCTAGAAAAAAATAATTACTACGTTTCGGGATTTAAAGTATATAGAGCAAATAATTGCGCATTGTAGATCATGTTATTCAGTGTAGAATTTTTTTATTGACTTTCAATGTGAAAATTCCTCACTGGATAACATAACTTTAAAGGTCAATTTTGGAACCCAATTCTATAGATTGGGGACTTAGGTTCTAATGTCAAAAATTTTCTATCTAAATCTTTCGTCGTAAATTAAATTCGTAAATTAAATTTTTTTCTTCAAAAATGGGATTTAAATTTTGTATGGGAGAGGAGAATAGGAGAAGACAAAAAGGTACAAGGCTGGTTTTTTGGAATATAGAGTGGTACAAAAATGAAAATGAGAGTTAATGGAGGACATTGAGAAAATGGAAGGTTATATTTTTGTTGGTGACGTGGGTGGAGTTTAGAGATTGGGAGAAAGTAAAAGTAAAGTTGCCAAAAGTATATTGGTGGAAAATACAGGGAGCAAGAAAAGAAGCGATGAAAGGCAGATGCGCGGGATTAATTATCACTCGGGTGAGATTGAGGATAAGGGAAGGGAAAAAAATGAAAGGAGTGGAAAAAAGAGGGAAGCATGGTGAGAACCATTAGGATGGAAAGGGAAGAACTGGATATTGTAGGAATTTACAGGAAAATAGAAGAAGAAGAATGTTGGGATACACTAGAGGAGTGGATGGACCGGGGGAAGAAAAAATTGGTTTTCAAAGGGAGTGGTTTAAATGCATGGACGGGGACGCTAGGGGGAGGCTAATGGAATGAATAAACAAATAAGTATGAATGGGAGTCATAAAACATAAAGAAGTGTACGGGGAAGGAAGGAAATAGTTAGGGATAATGGAGAGTGAATGTTGGGAAACATGCAATTTTAATATTAGGGGGGGGTGAGGAAGGAGAGTATACTTTCATGGGGAGGGGGGATACTTGCATTGACTATGTGCTGATGGATTAAAGGATGAGAAAGAGGTTGAGCGCGATGAAGGTTGGAATAGAACTAGGTTCAGAACATTTCCCGTTTATTGTCCACCTTAAAGGAAAAGTGGAAAGGAGAGAGGACGTGAGGAGAGAAAAGAAGGATAGAGTAGAAAAAATGGGCAAGTGGACGGTGGAAAATATGATTGAATTTAAAAAAGGATACAGGAAGAGTAAATAGAAAATCTTAAGGGGGCAGGGGTTAATTTAAGAGTGGAAAGTATGGTGCGAGCCGTACACAAGGAAGGAGGCAATGAAGAGAAACATCAAATTATGGAGAAAAGGGCATATTGACAGAAAGGAGTACTAGAGAGTGCAAGATGTGCACGAGAAGTTGAAAGCACGGAAAAAACAAAAGGAAAGGAGGAAATTTTTATGAGAGGTGGAAAACGCAGTGAGGGAAGGGAGGGAATGGGAAGTAATAAATAGAGAAAGGAAAAGAAAAGGAGTGGTTGTAGAGAGCATAAGTATGGGTTGATGGACTAAGTATTTTATAGAGCTCACTGGGGGGGTTGATAGGAGAGTGGTTGGAGGAAAAAGAATGGCGGTGGGTGATGGAGAGTGTAAGGAAATAAGCAGGGAGGCAGTAGACAATGCAATCGACAGGATGAAAAGAAACAAAGCTGCTGGTTTCGATAGGATGGAAGCGGAGAGTTTAAAGTATGGGGGTGTTAGTAATAAGGAAAGAGATGTAGGAAGTGATAAATAGGGTGAGGAGGGGACAAGGGTGGCTAAAGGGATGGAAAACGGGAGTGATTGTACCGTTGGTTAAGAAAGGGGAAGGGAAAACGGTAAAGGAATATAGAGGAATCACTCTAATGCCAGCTGGGTACAATCTCGACACAGAGACCTTGATGCGGAGGATGGAAGAAAGTGTAGACAAGGCTGGAGGGATACCATAAAGTCAGGCAGGGTTCCGTAAAGGGATGAGTACTATGGACCACATATATTCTTTGATTTTTTTGGTATGAATAGGTTTTTTTATAATCTTTTAATTTAGAAGTAAATATTAAATAAAAATTTTTTCCCTAAAAAACCAAAATTTTAAATTTTACTATTTGGAGGGGAAGGATACGAGATTTTTTTCTACAATTACATAAAGATTTGATAGTGGGCGTTGAACGTTTAGACACTGAAAAATTAGTTTTCTGCTTACGAATTTCGTATGAAAATTCGGCTGCAAATTGTAAAACAAATTGTCAAAAGAAATTTTGTGTGAATTTCCATACGAGTTTCCGTGCGAGAATTTAAAAAAACATTATATTAAGAAATCGGGTATAACGCATAATACGTTTTGAAACGCCAAACGAGTTTTACTAGTAATTTCATTTGAATTTGTTAGGATTATTGTACTAAGTTTGTAGCATTTCTGAACGAAATGCGTGAAAAATTTGTACGAATCATTTTTACTAAGGTTGACAATTTCATTTCTAATACTATTAGTACTTCTGCAATAATGTGTAATAATAATTTAGTAAAGCATGCTTGTATAAGTAATGAGTTTGGTATGAATAAATCGATTACGATAGTAATGCGTCAAGAATATAAAGATCTTTGTAATAAATTTACTATTAATTATAATAGTAATTAAAAAATTAGTTACTTCGTAACTAGAAAAGGAAAATTTATTTCGTTTAGAATTTCAGATTTAACACAGCAAAAGGTAGTATTCTTTTAGGATAGTATTAGATACGAATCATATTGTTTGAAGACTTTTGTTCTAGTTTTAAAGTGACTACGTACAATTTCAAAACGCGGAGTTAAACGTTTATAAAATCAGATTACCTACTTCTCATTTGGTTGGTACATATTTCAACTTGAGAAAGAAGCAAGATATATTAATAAGTTGTAGTATAACTAGTCAGGAATAAACTATTTATATCAGTGAAGGATTTTATATATGGTGAAAGATTCTACACAATGAAGACAAGATCAGGTAAGAAACGTATAGTTTGAAGAGTTGTAAGATATATTGACAGCAATATGTCTTGCTATGTGGATGTTATTTAAAATACAAACACTTAAATTAGGATTTTAACTTATATTTGCTAACATGAAATCAATCCAGCAACTAATATCAACATTCAGCCTAAATAAAAAGAGAAGATTAGATTTAATTAGAAACCATTTTTATTAAATCAAAATAAGTTTGTTTTTTTATAAAGTAGAAAAATATAACACTTTATGTCCTACTGTCCATCTACTACAAACTTGTAACAAACATACATACATAATAATTTATAAACGAAATAAAGTTTTTCGCAACATTTTTAAACACTTATTTTTTTTAAATAATAAAATAAATTTTTGTTTTAAAAAATAAAATCTGTAAATATTGCGACTTACTTTTAAAAGAACTTTAAATCAACTTTTTTGATATTTGAAGAATAATAAAACTTGAAATAATGAAAAATTAGAGCTGTGAAAAATTATTTGAATCGAATGGTTCGAAGTTTTTCGTCTAAAATATGTGTTGATAATTCAACATTCGAGTTAGTCCAATTTGAATGTCTAGTATTCGAAATTTGAACCGAACCAAGGTTTGTTCGGTTTTGGAGCCCTAAAATGTCGAACATCGAAAAACCGGCATTCGAGTTAGCTTAGTTTTTGACATTTGACATTTCAGCGCCTCAAAACCAAACAAAAGTCGATTCGAATTAAAATTTGCACAGCTATATGGAAAATAATGAATCAAAGTGAAGTGCTTTCTAATCATAAAAATTAAACTGATTTTCTCTTTCAGAAATGTTTTTCCTTTAATTATTCATTTACGATTTCAACATCGTAAATTGTGCAAGGTTCTGTTTTTTTATAAAGTAGAAAAATATAACAATTTATGTCTATCTACTACAATATTATGACAGACATACCTAAATATAAATTTATAAACGAAATAGAGTTTTCTGTAATTCTATAACAAAGGTATTTTTCTTAAATGAATTAAAAATATTCTTGTTTATTAAATAAACATTGAAGCCTGATAATATCACAGCTTATTTAAAAATATCTTTGAATGAGTTTTTTTGGTATTTGGAAACAAATAAAACTAAAAATGATGGGAAATATTAAAACAAAGTAAAATTCTTCTTAGTTATAAAAATTAAATTGATTTCCTCTTTCGGGAATCTTTCTTCCTCTGATTGTCAATCCAAGTTTTTAATTGTTGAGGAGCACGGTTTTTCAATACCTCGTTATTACTTATTAAATCTTGACAAGTATGAAGCGAAGGAAGTTTTGGCAAACTCTTTAGGGGCCCAAAAAAATTTGTTACTACATCCTGTTCTTCCGTACTCCACTTTGTTCTTTTAATTTTAGAAATCGATGATCCTGTAATCAAGAAACAAAAAATTATAAAACTGCACATGATATTTGCAATTGAATAATTTTACCACATTTACGTTAACTTTAACAAGTGGTAAGGTATGATTTAAGAAACTTTAAAATTGAAAAGATTACTTATGGAATATATATTTCTTAATAGATTTTTGAACAAAAATAATTTGCAATAGTATTATAAATTTTTTTTATAATTGAAGGGCTACATAAAATAAGGGGACGAACGCATGGTTGAAAGGGATAATATCAGTCAGGTAGCAGCGAGCGGCTCAAGGCTCGTCACTGCTACCTGACTGGTACTATCCCTTCCAAGCCTCGCGTTCGTCCCCTTATTCTATGTAGCCCTTCAATTCTCAGGAACAATAGAGAATCTACGTAATGTACTGCTCCGTGTGGCAGGGTGCACGTAGATTTCATCGAATAAAAAAGCTTTTGCCTTTATTTATAGCAGTTAGACCTTTAAAAGTATGTATATAGTAACTATGCTTTGAGATTACAAGAAAAACTAAGAGATAGATAATATAGGCTATAGTGTTTATTTTCTTTTTTATTATATTCTAACAGTTTTGGGATATTTATATTTTTTTGGGAAGTTCCTAACAATATTCAGTGACTGTTTGCAATTAGCATATTTATAGAAATAAGTAAATATATTAATAGATACAGTGTAATTACAACATAATATCCAACAAGTATTAAATATTAAAATAGATTTTCTTAGTAACTTTGAATTTCCCGATACTTTTATTAGTAAGGTAATATTTTAAGAAACTTTTAAATTGAATGAGATTACATTTGGAAAGTATAATTTCTACTGGCTTTTCAAACAAAAATAATTTGCAATTATATTTAAGAAATTTTTATTAATTTTTAAGAACAATAATGAATTTACGTAATGTACTGCTCCGCGTGGCAGGGTGCACGTAGATTTATTTTAATAAAAGCTTTTGTTCCTACTACTTCTTGTGTTTTAAATGCATATATTGGTGGATGTTCCTGCACATTCTCAACATTTAAATACTATTAAGAAATTGATATTAATTTATAAATTTAATAAATATACTTACTATAACAATTTTTGCTTTCCTCCTCGTCGCTGGTTTCAAGTTCAAAATCTGAATCGCTCCTTTCTTCGGCTATAACAGATTTTCCAACACGTAGTTCTGAAACTGAGCTATTAGCGCTGTTTTCATTTTCAATTGCAGCCTGTAAAAATTTCGATACCTCGGTTACGTCTTTGACGGCATTAGGTAGTCTGTATACATCTTTATGTATCTTTTCATCATGCCCCATGAAATTCGCCAAATCTTGCATCTCATTTTCATTGATTCCTAAAACTGCACTATAAGTTGCTAAGTGCTTTCGAAGAAATGTGCCGCGAAGTGTTTCCGGCATTGTCGCTCCACAATCTTCAGAGAATTTACGCATTAAAGCGCAAGCTCTTAAATATGGCTTCGAATGTTTCCTTCTCTGATAAATACCAAAAACGTATGGATTTGTTTTTTATACGCGAGCATGTTTTCGATTATCGATAATGCAATTAACGAATTGCACTAGTTCTTCATCTAGTAATGCGGGGACGGCACGTCCCTTTTTGCCATCAATATTTATGCGAACAAATAACTTAGATCTCTTTTGTTTTTCGGAATCCATGTGAGAATAAAGATCAGGGTGTACATTTTCGTCTACAGATTCTCTATTCATAAAATCATCGATTGAAATTCTTTCAACTTCTCCTGCCCTTTTTCTGTTGAATAACTGTAAAAGAATTAATGTGCATTCTGATAGCAGTTTCCAAGCTTCTAAATCAAAAGATTGCTTTAAAATATTAAAAGATTTCGTACAATTTTCTTTTAGATGCTTATACAAAGCATTAATATCCTGTTTTAAAGGTAAATTAATTTTTTTGGCACGTTTTGCTTTTATCTGATTTTCTACTACTTTTTTGTTTACGGCAGTAGGGAAATCTTCCTCAAAAAGTTCTAAGAATTCGGCAGCGCTTTTCTTTCTTTCTTGATATCCTTTTTTTATGCACTCAGCGATCCAGACTTTCATACACTTTTTGATTAAGGTTCCCAATTGTGATGCAACTGATGGCGACGCAAATAAACCGGTTTGTTCATTATAACCCGCACAACTTCTCACAGCATGTTTAAATGTATCATAGTTTTTTGAGTGCAGTATAAGGAAAAGTTCAGTGAGTTCTTTATTTACTTTCAATGCAGCTTCTTTAAGACGTCCAAGAAGACGTAAGTTTGCCCTAATTGAATCATACTGTTGAATTTTAGTATACTGCTCGCAAAATCTATTTCCCATTAGTATTATTAGCAAATCGTAACGAATTATACGTACAATATTATCATCATTCATCACTGGAAAGATTTCATTTCGTAAAATGGGAGACGCCCGTTCATGGATGAAGCCCTCTACGCGTCGACCTGAGACTTTTATTTCTTTCTCACCTTTCTTGTGAAGAGGATCACACTGTTTATAGTGAATGTGAATAGTCTTTTTCGAAAACGCCCCTAAACACATAGAGCAATGAATATAATCCTCGCCATTATTATTATATTTTTCTTGACGTCTTCGACACGTAAGTAAAACTCCGGTATTATAGTCCTTATTTGTGTTATGTTCATGATTTCCCTCCTTTCTAATTTTGTCAATTACTTTTCTTCTTTCGGCCGAGTTTTTAGGTAAATTAATCATTACTTTAACGTCTTCTTCTGTGTAATGTTTAAGTTCCAAATGTCTTGGCAATTTTGTGGTTAATTCCTTACAATAACGACAGAAATTTTTCTTCAAAGAAGAAGAACCATTAACTTTTGACGGAGGTACAGTTACTACGCGAATATCAACAGGAGGACCTACAATAATATTATCAAGACATTTTTCCGACGTATCTGACGCATTTTTAGATATATTGACGGATACTGTAGCAGAGGAATCAGGCACAAAATCTGGATCGTCAGTTAGATCTGTATCATTTGCATCAGTTACTTCATAACTAATAGAAGCAGAAATATCATTATTTGTACTATTACCTTGAAGAGGAGTATCATTACAAGAAGTGTGCATTTGAATCTGAATATTTTCAGGCAATTGAATAACAGGAAGCTCAAGCTCATGGACAATACATTCTAGATTATTTTCAGTATTATTATTCGGATTGTTTTGCTGGCAATCATTAAATTCTTTAAAATCGAATTCTAATAAGACGTATGGTTCTAAAGAAGTAGAAAACTTTTTCGGTATAATCTCATCTTGGTAAGCCTTAGAATTCTTGTGTTTTCTTTTTCTCGAAAAAGATTTAGAAAGCACATCAGTTGGGTAATTTGGTAATTTTTCAAGCATAATTACTGGATTACAATAAGGAAGTTTCGTTTTAATCGATATTTCCGAATGTGTTAGTTCTTTAGATTTCATCTGTGGAATCGGTTTCTCGGCTTCCAGTGGTGACTTGCTCTGAATCGGTTTTACGGAATTAACATTTGTCTGGGATTCAATCGATGTCTCAGACTGAAGCGGTTTCTTAGAATTAACAGGTGTCTCGGATTTAATAGGTATTTCAGACTGATTCGGTTTCTCAAAATTATCAGCTGACTCGGAATGTTTCTCAGATTTATATAGTGCTTCGAATTGAATAGACGTCTCGGACTTACTCGGAATCTCGGATCGAACAGATGTTTGGGATTCGATCGGTGTCTTTATTAGTTGACCCTTTTGTTTCTTTGAGATAGCTGAAAACAAAAAAATTAATTACAAAAGTGACTAAGTTTAACTATGTAAGAAATATTTATTACTTGTTTTTCAAAGAAAAATAATTTGTAAATCTTTAATGGAAGACTTGTTACAATTTTAAGGAATAATAGTTAATCTACGTAATGTACTACTCCGTGTGGCAGGGTGCACGTAGATTTCATCGGAAAAAGCTTTTGCCCATATACGCTTTAGAATTTTAAGAAAAACTAAAAGATAGATATTATAGGTTATATTATCCGACATTAAAAAAATATTGAATAGAATTCTCTTAGAAACTTTGAATTTTCTGATACTATTATTAGTAAAGTAATATTTTAAGAAAATTTTAAATTGAATAAGAACCCTTCTGGACGATATATTTCTTAAATTACTGGTACTTGTACTCGCAGAAGTTGTTAAGCAACTCCTGCAGGTAGGAAGGCAGCCAGCTGAGATGTGAGAATACCCTTACTGGCTTTTCAAGTAAAAATAATTTGTAAATATATTTAACAGATTTTTTAAAATAATTTTCAGGAACTACCTAATGCACTGCTCCGCGTGGCAGGGGGCACGTAGATTTAATCTAATATAAGTTTTGCACATAGTTGCATTGTAAACCGTTTCACCGACAAAAACAATCACAAGAAGAATGTTCCTGTCTGAAAGGTTAAACTCTTAGTAATCCAAAATACTCTCTTTTTTCGACTTTTATCAAAATTATATGAAAATAAAGTTTAACTTTTTTCACTTTTTATTCCCGTATATCCTAAATACAAAACGGGTTTCTTTAAAATATTCTTGTATTTTCTAAACCGCTAAAAACCAAAAGATGTCTCTAGAAAACCAAGAGATAATCTAAATACTCCTGTCTTATAAAGAATTCTTTTAACTGAACAAATTAACTAAACTACAAGTAAAATAATTTAAAATATAAAAATTGTCACTAAGATTTTACCTTTTTTTAACCAAGGATTGGTATTCAAAACAGATCTGCGCATTTCTCCATAATTCCACAATAGTTCACAATCAGGAGCAATATCCTGAGTCGCCTTAAAAAACACACGGGGTATTTCATTTATAACTTTAAGAAAAGGTTTAATGTTTTCTTCATTTGAGTGGTTTATAAGACGTCCTTTATAGTTGCTTTCAGCAGTAGCGTCAATAAACATTTTTTTATCACGATATTGAAAGTCTAAAACGTAACATCCTAAACCTTTTTCTTCGTAAACAATCTGGCGCTCTTTCATCTGACTAGCGCTTGTGACCAGCTCGCCAATATACTCCAGAATAGTTTCTCCTTTTTTTATAAAATGTTTAGTAAAAACACCCCGGTTTTTTGATTCTGTATCGCGTACATCGAAGTCACTTTCATCAATCGAGGGCAGGTCAAGTATATCCATTTTGAACAATCACGACCAACTAAAAAGAAATTTAAAATAACTGATTAAAAATATTTTGACAAAAGAGTTTAAATGTGAATATAGTTAATGAAGAGGACAACTTTCTAAAATCAGCAATATACGAATTTTATCTAGATGGTGAGGTTTTTAATTTAAACTTGTTAACAAGACTGGACAGTGGTACTCCTATTAGCTTTTTAAGAAAAATTGTAAGCACTAACTTGATTGAATCATTTGACACGAATTCTTTACAATATACGGGCGCTAATGAATCGAAACGTAGAATATTCGGACGAGTAAATTCAAGGGTCAAACTAAGACATCTGATTAGATTTATTAATTTATTAGTAGTTGACGATAAAACTATGTGTTCGCCGGTAGTTTTGGGTCGCGAAGGTTTTGCTGAATTTGGTTTTAAGTTAATAGAATCACATAACAGTTTTCTGGAATCAGCATAAGAAATTTTGAATATTGACATAGAAGATGTTAAAGTTGATAAAATTAAAAAACCGCTGCCAAGTAATTTTGGTGTTCATTTCATGAACACTTTGCTTCCTCATAGAAATAATAAAATTTGAAATATAAGAATTACTTTTAATAAAAGGGTTAAAAATCATTAAATCTTGGTCCAAAAAATGTGTTTTTATATATTCTATAAGATGGTAATAATAGTTTAATAATTACACATAAATTAATAAACAAGAATGTTGAAAAAATGATATTTTTCACAATTGTTGATTTTTCAAATACCAATAATTTCATAATTTCTGCCCGAATCAGGTTAAAAAATAGGTCAATCGAAGCGTGTTTTAATGCTCTTCAAGTTGGTAAAAATTTTTTGAAGTTACTTTTACATAATTAAAAAAAATTTTTATAAAAGTCAATATTTTTCCAAATTTTAGATTTTTAAAAGTTTAATATCTCCGGTTAATATGGACGAAAAATGTTCAATTAGAGCTCAAAAGATGCGTCTAAAAAAACTCTACAAAACTAAATACAAAACAAAGCTAAACTTCTACATTTTTCAACAAAATTTTCAAAAAAGTCTTATTTTCTAAAATTTTTTATTTTTTAAAGTTTAATATTTCCGGTTAATATGAACGAAAAATATTCAATTAGGGCTCAAAAGATGCGTCTAAAAAAACTCTACAAAACTAAAGAAAAACATTTATAAGTGTCCTAACATTTTTTTAAGTTATGTCCAAAAAACGTTTTTTTACAAAATGAAAAATGCAAAAAAAAATAGTTGAACTTCATGAATTGAACTGAAAATACTCTCATTTTATGTCCCCCGGGGAGACCTACAATATAAAAAAAAATTGAGGCCTTTAGCTCTTTCTCGTTCGGAGATATCGAGGCAAATGTAATGTTAGTACACACACACACACACACATCCGGACAAATTTTTAAAATCCGTTTTTTGGACTTCGGAGGACAAAATACGTCGAATTTTTTTTTTATTTATTTAGAACATTTATACGCGGAGTTCCTGTGCATATATATAGTACTAAAGTATTAGGCATAATAAAAAAAAATTTATAAATATGTCAAAAAATGCCAGTCCAAAATTTTGCTAATACAAAGCTTCCTTTATGAGGAAGCAATTCAAAAATTAATGATAAAATTTCGGCCGGAGATAGTCATAAAGTTGAAGATCTATTTCTCGCGGAATATATTATTCCAGGGAGACCAGATAAGTGAGATATTGTATTTCATACACAGAGTACACCTATATATACTACAGCGCGTTCAACCAGTTAGTCGCGTAGAGCAGCCACCGAGCACACACCACTGGGCCGCACCGAAGTCATAAGTCCCCACCGCGCAACTTACCTGGCTAGCTACGATACTTCTATATACCTGGCCTGCAAGAGTAATTTCGTCAGTTCGTCGTCAACCGAACTTGAATTTCGCTCCGAGCCCGAGAGAAGACAACTCTCTCCTTTCCCTCTATATTTCCTTTCTTTCTACCTAGTGCAGGTAGGCAGTACGTCAGGTACGTCTGTGGCTGCCAACCTAGACAACTTCCTAGAAGGAGCTGTACTCGAGACACAGGTACGTCAATGCAGCAGTAACTCGTGTTCGAACCCTGTGAAGAAGAGGTACTTCTCGACCTTTACAGAGTTGACGCATCAGGTCGATTCTTAGACTCGAGGTACATCGCGAGAGAATATGACACCTGTCAATCATTTATTCGCACTAGCCTCGTGTTGGGCATGAATACCGTGAACGCGAATCTCGGTATCTAGACTCTCTCTCACCGATTTTGGGAACAAAATCTACCTAGCGTTCACGATTCTAGCAATCGTCCGCATCGTCATCTAGGGGTACTTCTAGATAATACCCACGCGCATTAAAAGATTAGAACCTCATCCGATAAATAGCGGCATATCAATGTATTCTAGTTCTCGAAACAAAATCTAGCAAAAACGGTAGAGAAACGTAAAACTCGAAACTAACCTGTAACGCTGAAACTACCCGTCAAACTCGAAGACTCCGAATGAAACTAGCGAAAGATATCTCGTAACTGTTATTTCTAGCTCTGTCTAATATGTTCTACATTTATCTTATTTGTTAAGTTTCCTTTTGTTATATTTTTATTGTTTGTAAAATATACTTTTTTACGAAGATTTAACTACCGCCTTATTAACGACTACACCTCTGCTCTAAAACACTATAAAAATTCGTCCACTAGTAAAAACTGTACAAATTCTAGATGGCGCTCACGTCATCTTAGTAAAATTTATAGAATTTAACGAATTAAGAACCCGGACTCCATCCGACGAACAAATCCTTTGTCAAATAAAAGTCTAATCATTACAACGGTCACTATTTAGAGAAAAGCAGAAATTAAAAGAGATTTTTAAAAAATTGTTAGAATTAGAGCGAATAGAACCGAGCGAGTCCGAATATGTATTAACAATTGTTATGATTAAAAAGGAAAAGGGCAAGTTGCGTCTATGCATTGATTATCGTGTGATAAATAGACATATATTCGAAGATAATTATACTTTGCAATAATTTGAAGATCAGCTCGAAATTTTAAATAATAAGAAATATTTTACTTGTTTAGATTTAAAAGATGCCTTTCATCATGTCTTTATCGCAGAGGAATAAAAAAATGTACATCTTTCGTTACTCCTATAAAACAATTTGAATTCACTTGTATGCCTTTTGGCTTAAAAACAGCACCTTCACGCTTTTAAAGATTTGCTAACGCGGTTTTCAAAGACTTAATTGACTCTGGTGATGTAGTCGTGTATTTAGACGACTTACTTATAGCTGCAATATCGATTGTTTATTGAAATTGTTATAAATTAACAATAATAAATTGTTTAACAAATAAAAATTTTATTGTAATAATAGTAAAATACATTATTTATTCTTAGTAAACAATAATAGTGAAGTTCATTCATGATTGCAACTTTTTTTTACATTATACAAAGAGCAATACTCGTAGTATGTTGTACATTGAGGGTACATGTGTAGACAATAGCTATAAATAAACAATAAAAAATACAAAAAAAAAATTTTTTTTCGTAATGATTTATTACCGTATCCAGAACAGCTATTGAAAATGATAGTAAAATTTATCATTTCAAATTCGAATTATGGATAAATGAATATTTTACAGGATAAATTTTACCCTACCTTACGCTCGCCAGGTTAAAAAGAGCGTAGAATTTAATTTTAAAAAGACAATCTAACGTGTTTAATGCCCTGAAATCAAAATTGTCGAAATATTTGATTCTAGCAATATATGACCATCGAGCTGAAACAAAGTTGCATTGTGATACAAGCTCGCTTGGGTTCAATGCGATATTAATGCAGCGTAAAAAAGTGTAAAGTTTCATCCTACCTTTAATTTTTAAAGAGAGCGATTGAAGTTGAGAGCCATTATCACAGTTTTAAAATCCAAATGTTGGCTATTGCTTACGCCTTACATAGATTTCGAGTTTATCTTTTCGGAATCTCGTTTAAAAAGAAGAAGATTAATATCTAAATTTCCAGGTGGGTTATAGGGCTTCAAAGTTTTGGTTATATTTCAGAGCATAGAGAAAGAAAGCCAATGAATCATGTCGATAGTTTGAGTAAGCGTAGTAAGATTGATATTGTTAATGACAACTCTTTCGAAACAAACTTAGTGGTAGCTAAAAATAAGAATAAGGTGATAGTAGAATTGAAGAAAAAAATCCAGTTCCTTCAAGATAAATATTTTGAACTAAGAAATGGAGATTTGTACCGCAAAAAGAGATAACATTAATACGCTTTTATTTAATGTCCCAGATCTAATACAAAAAAATGTACTTTTTAAGTGTCGTGACAAATTAGGGCACCAGGGGGTATCGAATGTATATAATACATTGCGCAAATGTTATTGATTCTCAGATGTGAAGAATAAAATAATTCAGCATGTTAAAAACTGTTGTAAATGTATTGCGCTTACGCCTTCTTCGGGTAAAATCGACGGTAAAGTCGATTCACACCTATTCCTAAAGGTGACATACCCTTCGAGACAATACGCATATAGATCACGTGGATATATTTAACGAACGGGTTAAATCGAAATAATAATGCTTAATAATAATAATGCTTTAATAAATTCAAAAATTTTACCCGAAAAAAACTACGAAGTCGGCGGAAACTATATCTAATTAAAAAAACTGTTTTACCAATTAAAGCAATCCTAGAATTGTTATTTCGGATAGAAAAACTTTATTTACTTCACATGAGTGCCAGGAATTTTTTAAGAAGAATTACATACACCATGTAAACGTTGTTACCGGTTCCACGCAAGCTAATAGACAAGTGTAAATTGTACATAAATCATTGAGCCTAGTGTTAGGAATATTAATCGATTATGAAGGGGGTAAAAGTCAGTTCAGATGGCAGGGATTTCGAAGTAATACACGCGAGAATTGATAATAATATTGTTAAAATATTGTAAAAAATCAGGAACGATATGCAACGAATGCGGATAAAAAGCGAAAAGATGCGCATGAATATGAAGGTGATTTTGTCATGATTAGAAACTTCAATTCAACTAAAGGAGCGGCTCCTAAAATAATTCCACGATTTAATATATCCTACGTAATTTCAAAAGCTCTACAAATTAACGATTTGTTATAGAAAATATTGAGGAATTTCAAGTTTCCCAAAGAAAATATGAAGGGGTTTGGGAACCAAAAAATATGCGTCTTTGGTGTCTAAATAAATAAACATGTGTAAAGTATAACATGTATGTAATTTTTAAAAATAGTGTGTAAGTCTTATAATGAGAATTTTATTTTGTCTCTTACTTTCATTCTAGTAGTAATAAAACATGACTCTACCCTAGGGCATGACGTAGTCAGGATGGACGAACTGTAATGTAATTGTATAAGTAGTATTCGTATTGGAATGTGATGAATGAGCAGCCGAGGTAACTCGAAATTAGGCGAAAGCCTGCGATTAATGCGGTAAGAAACCAGACGCTTGTCAGCCGTGGATTTTATTAGACGCAAT